AGTCCCCAGCCCCCTCCTTACTGGTCTTGGCTTTCCTGAGCCTGGAGGGGCTGGGTAGCCCGGTGAGCGGTAGTCTAATTGTGGAAGAACTCAGATCCTAAATCTAGGCAATATTTTAAAAATGTAGAACTGGAAACATATTTATAGTTCACAGCGTCCCCCTTGCAGATCATCATGTTTTATTTTTATTTCTTTCTTCTGGGAATCTGCACCTGGGCTGGGTTTAGATGGCTCTCCAGGTTTCCTGATTCTGGACTCGTTTTTAGAGCCACAAAAAGTTTTAAAATCCCCCCTCCCCACCTATATGCACAGAAATGTGAATTTATTCATAGATAGTCATTTGAGGTAGAAATGGACTGAATCTCTCCCCTTGAAGAAATTGTCCATTTCCGTCACCCAAGGAAAGATAGGTCTGAGGGCTTAGAAGTAGAACCTGAGATTCTAGATCAAGAAAAATTGGGAGGAAAGAAGCAACCCAGGCTTGCTGGCTTTAAATCTTTATCCTGGTATCCATCTCTTTCTTTCTGTATCCTTTACAAACCGATTTCACAACTCTCTGGTTTTTGTCATCCCACCGCCCGGGTTAAACACCTTTGAAATTAGAGGCTAAAGCAAACTTTTCTGCTCTCCATCCCACACGGCCATAGGAACCTCCATCAAATGCAGTCCAGAGGGCGAGGGTCCCTCCCTCTCATGCCTCAAAGAAATCCTCCTCCGGTCCCAGCTCCACAACAAACCCCAACTCCAGCGTAGACAGGCAAACGGCTCTAAAAGGGAAGGCCCCCAGGCTCAAGAAACATGTCACCCCCCACCCACCGCTCCCTACCCCCTCCCTCATCCCCCAATCTTCGGGGATTAACACTTCCTGAAACATCAAGTGTTTTTATAAAAAGGAAAAAAAAAATAATCCTGACATCGCTGACAAGAAGTTTTGATGGAAGAATTAGCTGGTGCATACATAATCACTCCCCCACCCTCCTACTCCCGGAGCGGGAGCCGCGCGGCGGGCGCAGCGCAGCCTTCCAACCCTCTGAAAACTGAAACCGGTTTCCACCCTTACCTTCTTCAGTGTCAATTTCAGATAATCTGGACACACACTCTTTTCTACATCAAATCAAAAGGGTCGAAGGCAGCTTTTGGCTGGGAGAATAACCGGAAAGAAATGGCAAAAAAGCAAAAAAGGTAGAAAAAGGAAAAATAGAAAAAATACAAAACCGACCAAACCAGAGCAAAACAAAACCAGAAAACCAAAAAGAATCCCTCGGCCCCATCCTCCTATCTTGAGAGTAAAGAGTGGAAAGAGGTCCCCAGGACGAGGCGCCTCCGAGCGCCGCAGGCTTTTTGCAGCGCTGCGCTTGCAGAATAGGACTGAAATTTTCGGCTATATAGCCTCTGTCTTTATAGCTGATGAAAAAAATTGCAGATTATTAGCATAAATGTTTACTCTTCATTACGCTGATGACATTGTGCACTCGAGATCTTGGTAATCTTTGGGAAAATTATGAGTAATTTTTAAAAATTTTAAAGCAGCAGCAGTTACCATGCAATTCAGGCTAATTCTGCGTAGGCTCCGAACGGATATAATTATCGAGGAGTCAAGATGTTATGCTAAAAACTATGCATTGATATTCCCATTTATTATGTACATACAACTTTGACAATGTTGATGCTTGAAATAGCAGGAAATTGTCTTGCGCAAAAATTACAGTCCATATTAGGACATCTGAAATTGCGAAGAATTATATAGTAATTGCAGGCTTTCAGATGGGAGAGCCAGAATGCTCAAACTAGTGCAAATGTGGATAAAATTACAGATCAGAGCAAAAATTAGGGAAAAAGGGGGTCTGGGACTTTTCAGGTTGGCTATAGGATTCCGGAAGTGTCTAATGCCACATGATTGCTGCAGCTTTAGGGGAGACATTCATGCCTCAAATAGAGCCTTGGCCAGGGTGGCTTTAATTGAATTTCTTGGGCTTTTTCTTTTAATAGGGGCAAATGAGGAGATTGGCCACCCAAGGCACATTTTCACTGTCCTCCCTGTGAACGTGTCGAGGAGAGAATCCCTTTCCCCGCGTGGTTTGCTTTCCCGGCTTGGATGCCCAG